GTAGAAACAAAAGATAATGAAAGAGTTGACTCCTAAACCAAGATTAAGGCATGATTCTAGGCATCCAAGGGACGGAGAGGGAAGGTATGAAGCACCCCTCTCCCTTTTGTCTTGTGAACGCTAATTCCAAAACACCAATGATAAAATTCATAACTAAATTAATATACAAAAGGCTTCCTCCAATTCAACAAGAATGTTAACATGAAGATAGTGTTCTCTCACATGATTCAATCTCTTCTTTCCTTCTTTCCGGGTTTGAGAAGCCCTTAGAAGAGCAAAGGGGCGGGTGTCTACACACCCTCCCCCTCTTTATCCAAGGCCTCCCACATTCCTACTTGAGGTAGAGAGAGAAAGGACCATGAGGAGCACAAAATTCCACAAGCTTCCCTCTAAATCATATTTAAGACAATGCTATCATTACTTAAACAAAAGCTAACCATAACAACCCACAAGAAACCTAACAAAACAAGTTTGATTTCAAGAGAAAAAAATCCAAGTCAGAACTAACTCCACTCAACATGCATTAATCTGATAAGGAACAAAAAAAAAGAAAAAGAATCCACACTAAACAAACATAAGAAAATCGAATTCTACCTATCAACTTCATCCATCCTTGAATGAAATAGAGAACAACAAAAAAAAAATAATAATAAGAAACATAGATCGCAAAATATGTTGGAGACCTTAGAGAATATAGTGGAGATCTTAGAGAATGATGGGACTGTTTTGAGAATGCTTTTGATGGATGTACAGACTGAGGTAGGATGTCCCCTCTTCCTTCTTGGCTGAATATGGTGGAGACCTTAGAGTTTCTTCCCTCCTTTGTTCTTCTTCTTTCTTCTTCTTGTTCGTCTTCTTTTTTCTTTAATTTTTGGGTTGGAGATTGAAAGGGATGGAGGATGGCCGAAGTTTGATGGTTATTAGGTTCAAGTTAAAAATGTGAGAGGGAGGAGAAGGAAGCTCTCGGTCATGGAGGTTGGGAGATTAGAGGAGGAAGAAGATGAGAGGGAGGGATGAGTGTCGGTATGTTCGTTTGGTTTTTCATGGGGGGTTCATGGTAGAGGAAGATAATGAGAGAGATGCAAAGAGCTTGAGGGAGAAGAGTAGAGAGGAGGAAGGAGGAGAAGTGATCAATTAGAGGGAGAGTTCGGTGGTCTCTTGTGTTGTGAATGAGAGTCCCCCCTTGTTAGGTTGGTTCAATTAGGTTTTATCTAGGTTTTTTGTTTATGTTATTTTCAAAACCGAATAGAGACAGGGCCGGTTTGGTTTGCTTCAGTTGGGATGGTTTAGTTTCATTAGAACTGAATTGGGTTTAGTTTAGGGTTTGGTTAAACTTGGACCGAATTTGGAGAGTTTTGGTTAGGGTTTTAAGTGTGAGAGATTAGGGCTTTGGGCTTGGTTTTCAAAAGAGATGGACGATTGGGATGGTTCGATCCTAACCTAAGGGATGGGGGCTTCCTAGATTACTCTTTTGACTTTTGACTGAATTTAAGGCAAGGAGACAACTTCCCTCAAAAGTTTCCCCCTTGTCTCCCTATTAATGGCCTAAAAAGGGTTAAATTTCAATTTAAAATTTGAATTTGAGGGGGAAATGAAGAAGTGGTGGCTAGGGTTTTGGGATGTGGAAGTGAGGGTTAGGCCAATCCTAGGGTGGAGAAGCAAGGGGGGCTCAAATCTAGGGCTATGATTGATTCTAGGTTTAGTGGGGGCTTTAGGTGGTTTCTAGAAATGTGCAGGGACTTAAGTGAGAAAAGGGGGTTTTTGTAATGAAAGGGCAAATCCAAGGGCTTTGATGTGTAGGATTCAAGGGTTGAGGTTAAAACTCAAGATGTTAGGGTTTATCTCGAACAACGACATCGCCCGAATTAAAATCTTCGTAGGTGGAGGGGTAAAATGGGGAATTTTGTAATAAAATTTTCAAGGGGGTTCTAAGGTGTTCGAAAAGGGCAATGATAAGGTTTGATGGCCTCGAGGAGTGTGCTAGCGTGAGAAATCATGATTTGGAGTGTGTCGAGCAACAAGAGCTGTCGAATCAGGATTTTTCTTAGTGGAAGGGTAAAATGGTCATTTTGGATTTAAAATGGATGAGGATTTATCCAGATGTTTAGGAAGGTGATGGCGTGGTCTACGTGTACCGGAGGGTGTACCGTAATGCAAATCTTGAAATAGGAGAGTAGTAGCCAATGAGAGCCCTCAGTTTGGAATATTTATAGATGAGGGGTAAAATGGTCATTTTAGGGTCTAAAATTTGTTGGATTGTCAATCAAGGGGCTTTGATGGGGTTTAATGGTGTCGGATGATGCATGACAATGGATATTTTGAAATTGAAGAGTATTGGGCAATGAGGATGGTCCATGTGGAATCTTTTTAAGTGAAGGGTAAAATAGTCATTTTAAGGTCTAAAATGTAAAGGATTGTCCATCAAGAGGTTTTGATGGGGTTTGGAGGTGTCAGATGATGTATAACGATGGATATCTTGAATTTGGAGAGTATCGGGCGATAGCGATAGTTCATTTAAGATCTTTTTAAATGAAGGGTAGAATGGTCATTTTAAGGTATGAAATGTGATAGATCATCGATCAAGAGGTTTTGATGGGGTTTGGAAGTGTCGGATGATGTGTGGTGAAAGATAACTTGAATATGGAGCGTATCGGGCGATGGGGATAATCCATGTAGAATCTTTTTAAGCAAAGGGTAAAATTGTCATTTTGAAATCTGAAATTTGATAGATGGTTGGTCAGAAGGTTGATGTGGGTTTTGGTATATTTCAAAGGTCTCGGCTAGTGTGTTGTAATGGAAAGCCTAGATTTGAGGAGTGACGACCAAAGGATCGTCGATTTAGAATCTTTTTAAATGAAGGGTAAAAAGGTAATTTTAAGGTTTGAATTTGTATGGATGGTTAATCGAGAAGTTGATGGAGGTTATGGTGGGGTTTGAGTGTCTCTGGGAGGTGTCCTGATGGAAATCTTGGATTTGGAGAGTGGCGGCCAACTAGGATTGTTAGTTTCGAATATTTTTGGATAAGGGGTAAAATGGTCATTTTATGGTTTAAAATTTGTTGGATGGTTGATCGGGAAGTTGATGGAGGTTTTGGTAAGTTTTGGGGTCTTAGATGATGTGTCTCACAAAGATCTTGGATTTTGAAAGTGATGACTGATAAGAATAACTAGTTTGGAATCTTTTGGATTAAGGGCAAAACAGTCATTTTTTGGTCAGAAATATGGTGGATGGTCGATCAGGGGTCTAATGGAGGTTTTAGGAAGGTTTGAGCATCTTGGGGGAGCTATCGTGATGGATATCTAAAATTTTGAGAATACGAACAATGATAATGGTCGATTGGGAATCTTTGCATACAAAGGGAAAAATGGGAACTTTTGGATCTGAAATTTGGGCGGTGGGTATCCTGGGGTCCTTGGAGTCTAATGGAAGTGTGCGATGGTTTTAGAGGTGTGGGAATCGTGAGGATCTAATTTATGAGTATTTTGGCTAATGAGGGGGCTTGAAATGGAATTTTAGGTTGATGAATAGGTAAATGAGGGAATTTTAAGTTTGACTTTGGTGGAGTGTCATGGATTTGAATTACAAGGCTGTTGTGAGGGTTTTATCATGTCGGGGATGTGTGGGTCATAGGTTTTAGGTTCGAGAATTGTCGTAATGTTAAGTTCATCAAAATAGAATCTTTAATGGATAAATGGTGAAATCAAGGGATTTAAGGTTGAAATTTGGTGTGATTTGAGGATAAACAATTTTTCTTTTCATGTGATGGAGTCTGATCGGGTAACAGGTGCAGTGGTGTGGTACAATCGGAACTATCAAAAAGGAATCTTGTGGATTTGACGGTGAACTTGAGGCTATCTGAGTTGAAATTTAGTTTCTTAGGGTTTTGGCATATTCTAAATATGTTGATAAGGTCTGATTGGGCAATTGGAATGTGAAAAGTGGGTTAGAGAGGGGGGCAAGCAAAAATTGGGTGTTGACAAGGGGTAAATCGTCCCTCATCAGATGTTAAGCTTGGAAAATTGGTTTTATCTTAAATAAAAGTTACCAAACAGAGAATAATGGGGGTGCTTTTTTATGGTCATTGTGTACTTCTTCAGTTTAGCATTTTTTACCACAAATTAAATGTATTTTAAGCGATTTTGCAAACAGTAGGTGTAGGATTAGTCAATTTCCCCAAACTTGGGCATAGTTTAAGAGATCAACTAGAATACATATCAAAACTGTGATCCTTGCATTGGTGGAAACAGTCATCTAATGGATTCAGGTTGATACTGTATTGGATCAAGTGGCATGCCAAGGCCACGTGTTTCTCTTGGAAAGTAAACTGCAATGGTGCGTCTATATTAAATATGATTATCTAGTGTCTGTTTGATTTGCAATCGGAATCAGAATCGAAATCCTTTGGAATCGAAACGGTCTATTCCCATAGTCTATTTGGTTCATATAGGAATTGAAATCAACTGGAATGAGATTTCATTCCCAAAGGAGAGAGAGGGAATTATCATTCCCTCAAATAGGAAAATGTCGTTCCATTAATGAGATTCTGATTCCATCCAACCAAACAATTGAAATTGGAATAGCCCATTTGAATTCTGCTTCCAGACCCCTATTCCTGCAAAGCAAGTGAGCCCAATACAATGGAGAACCAGCGAAGGGAGAAGAACAAAAAATTGTGTATCATAAAAAAGCTTTGAGCAATCAACAACTACAACCTCAATTGAATTGGCATGATGGGCCAGTAAAGGCCTCCTGGCCAAGGAGAGTACAAATAAAATAATATGTATAGTATTAATACATATAAAACAATACGAAATACAAAAAATTTGCACTCTATATACTCCTTCCAAACTGAGCCTCAGAGGAATTTTCACCCGTAGATTGATGTAGATTCGAATCATGTGATCATCGATAGCCCACCTGAGTTTTTTTTTTTCGCTTTTTTGGGTAAAATAGCTGAGTCTTATTTTTCTTGGACAACATACACTTCTCTCTCTGGAAAGGAAGGCTCATCTAATCTCTTCTTCTGTGAACCAACCATATTGAATTCGCCTTATCCAAACTCTTCCTACACTCTCCCCATACAAAGTCTCGTTTGCTCCTATTCTCTCTACAATCCCATAACCAGAGTAGATCATCGCCAAAGGTAAATAAATCCACCATCTCATTCATGTTGACAACTTCAAACACAATTTTCAGTTTTCATAGAAATCTCAAACCTTTTCTATGCATGGTGTTTTTGTAGGTTGTGGGTTCTCTGCAGAAATGGCAGTCGCTTCCGCTGCGCTCTCTGCAGCTACGTGTACAACTGCTGCCATTGTTAGCTCCTCCAATCGCATTTCCACCCAGAAGAAAAGGAACAATGTGGTATACATACGAGGACTGAATTCCTTTGGGGGGTTGAAAGCCCACAACAGTGTAGCGGCTTTAGGCCTTACTGAGTGCACGGAACAGTCTTTTGCCAAGGTCGTTAGCTCATTAAGATCAACATCCAAAAGCAAAGGAAGAGGTGGGGGAGCACTTTCCTCTACCTGCAATGCCGCTGCTGAGATATTCAGGATTGCAGCAGTCATGAATGGACTTGTTCTGGTTGGGGTCGCCGTGGGTTTCGTTCTTCTACGAATAGAAGCATCTTTGGAGGAAGCCGAGTGAGAATTCCAGCCAAATGACTAATATTTATTTCTGTTATATCCCAATCAAGACCATGCTTTTCTTTTGTTGTTCATTTTGAATGTAACAGTAAAACTCCATTGTTTTGGCTGTACAAGTACACTCTCAACCGAAACCCGTTGTCTATTTAAAATTGCAGATATCAATTTAGTCATTCATTTTCATCTTCTCCTTGAAAATGAATGACTAAATTTGATCCCCGATCTCACGACTTATGCAAGTGCAAGTGTGCAACCATGGCCACAGCATTTTCTTTTCTGTTGCAATCCCCAGTAAAACATAACATGATATGAAAAAGTTGCATATCTAATTATCGATCGAAGCTCTTATTTGATTGGACAGTTTGTCAGAGATTATTACCTCTCTCGTGGGTTAAGTTAAGACCACTGTTTCAGCACAACATATCGGTAAAAGTACATGTCAAAACAAATTCAATATTTTCAAACTTGGTCAGTTGGTCACAGTATTTGACTATTTGGTAAACTGCAAAGGATACGATACCCTTTTATTGACGATAAGGTTGTATTTGGTATCATTGCTACTTCTATTAGAATGGTTTAGAGTTTATTAACACAGATTTTTGATAAAATATGCCATTGTTTATGAAAAATCCACTTTTGATATTAAATGCAAGTATCATTGCCACTTCATGAAATGTGAAATTTGATATTTCTATACAACAATCTAATGCATATATTTTTGGGTTAAATACATTGCAATCCAATGCAGCATTTTGAATTACAGCCCCCTATAGCACATAGTCTACTAGTAGCCCCCCTATAAACTACATCTTACCTGTAGATTTGGCATTAATCCACGGTCAGGATTCATCCCCTGTAAGGTGGGGCTAAAACATTCTGACCTGGACTGATCAGTCATTCTCCCTATATTTTTTCAATGAAAATGGTTATCTAATAGAAAACAACAATGATACCAAACATAATCCTGGTGTGCGAGCAACCTCAAGATTATTGAAGATTTACAGGGCATTGAACAATATATATATAATTTTGATTTTCAAAACTGATGTCGCAGTTGTTTTTCGAAAATCAAAATTATATATAAATATCGGGGAACCGAGTTCAAATCAGCCTCCCACAAGATTGCCCCTCACAACGTCCCACAGTACATCCCCGCCGTGTATTGAGAATATCTCCCGATGATGATATCATCATTTCTGAGATTATCATTGGAAGATGTTCCCATTACACGGCGGAAATTTACTGTGGAACGTTGTGGGGGGCTGATTTGTCTCTCCTGAACCTAAGAAAGTTAAAATTGGAGCTTTGAAACGTTCACAAGTTAAGAATATCAACCATTGTATAACCGCTTTTTGGAAAACGTTTTTGGACTAAAAAATCCAAGCCCTCATCTGGACAAGCTTCAGCGGGAGTTTATATCCAGTCTTTCAAAGATGTCAAAAACGTCTCACAGCTCGCAGCAGTCAGTAGCACCGGCAGGCAGGAGTTCCCTTTATTGTCTCCTTGGACATCTTTTTGAAACTTCGAGTCTCTCATGCAGATGGCTTCTGACAAGCCGAGAAGAGCTGCCAACTAATAAACGCCATCATTAATGAAGCAAACAATTCAAAGCCCACCACCTTCGGTAGGTGCCACCCCAATCCTCGCCTAAGATAACTGCAAAATTGTTTGTTTAGCATTAAGAGGAAAATTTTCAAGAAAATTGTCAGTTGAGGAAAATTTTACATGCTAAGGGATGAAAATATATTTCTCAAACAGAAATCATGACATTTGTCAATGGGAAAGAACATAAACAAGAGTGGTTTCAATTTTCAAGAGATTGCTGACCAGACTATGGCTTGTATCAAATATTTAACTGCAAGGCCCCGTTTGTTTTTCAGTAAGTTACTTATCCGGGTAAGTGTTTCCATTCCCAGGTAAATAAGACAATGTCCTTTTTAACCATAAAAATCCATTATTAAAAGAGGCATTTTTGTCCCATCCAAGTGTTGGTGACTTTCCTCCAGGTGGAAAAGTTATTTACCCACCTGGGAGATGGGTATCTACCTAGAAATAAGCTTTCCCTGGTCCCCACCTAAATCTGAAAAAGAACGTGGGTAATCCCATTAACCAACTTCCCCG